ACCAACGATTAGTAGGATTGACCGTCACATTACAACGCCTCCACGGCTGAATGCGAGTCGAGCGCCCTAACCACTTGGCCATGCCGGGCCTACAATTAATGAAAGAAGAAATTATTCCAATATAAAATAATCGATTTAGGGTATAATACACGTCTTGAAGGAAGCTGTTACAGTCAGTAAAGTTGTTAGAATATATCCGTTTGTCTTTGGTTAAATGAGAATTAATTTGTGTGCAAGAAAAATAATTTTTTACTCTAACTCTTCGAAGTCGGAATTGAAAATAACCATTTCACACAGCTAGCAATTTCTGACATTAAGCGAGAAACACATACAAATTTATCAACTTTTATTATTACATTCGTTAAAATATCTGCTTTCTCTTTCTAGTAACTTTTTTTTTCAGCCGCGGCATAACGGCTCATAGAATGGCAGTGAGAATTTTTTTTCAAGTACAAATTTTAGCTCATAGCTCCGTCACATCTTGACCGATTTGAGATCCAATTATAGTTTTGGACCCAGGAGGTCAAACCCTTTCGATTGATATATCTTATCACGCCCAGTGTATCATAGATTAATTTATTCTAATCTTACCTTAAATAATTTTAATTTCAGGCTAGGCTGGTAGAGATCCTGACGAGTAATAAAACAAATTGGTTATACGCGCACCCACGCTTGCTATTGCTGGCGCACAAAAATATAGCTAATAAAAAGGGGGAAAAAAAGGTCTCATAGATTAATGTACTCCAATCCTGCTTATTTTTGCTCTATAACTCAATCAAAAATGATCGAAACTCGGTGGACATATTTAGAATATCATTCCTCATTGTCCTGCCAAAAATGGTACGTGTCGTTGACAACGATGAACATACGCACACATTTTCGTAATTTTTGAGAGCCTAATATGATCAACGCTTCGTGTTCTGCTCAAGTTCCCAACTGTACTGTACCTATACATCTATGTAACTTGATTCATAATTTCCTCCCACAATGTTTGAAATTCTACATGCAGGCTCTTGAACCTCACAAAATATAAACAACAACAACAAAAATGCAAGGATGTCAAGGTTGCCCCCAAAATTGGTATAAGGCTTATTAGGGTTATCGTAGTTATTAGGATACTCGTGTTTATTAGGGTGTTCGTGTTTATTAGGATTCTCGTGTTTATTATGATACTCGTGTTTATTAGGGTGTTCGTGTTTATTATGGTTATCGTGTTTATTATGATACTCGTGTTTATTAAGGTTATCGTATTTATTATGATACTCGTGTTTATCAGGGTTATTGTGCTTATTAGGATACTCGTGTTTATTAGGGTTATCGTGTTTATTATGATACAAACAAACAAGGCAATTACAATTACAATAAAACTCTCAAATTTGGCTGCTCCAGTGGTTCAGCGACAAGCTTTAAGGCTTATAACGCTAAAATTCAGGGCTTGATCTCTTCACTAGGCTCAGATCAAATAGTCATTGTGCACTTCTGCGGTTAAGCAAAGAAACAAATCAAATCTTGCTGCTTCGGTTGAGTTAAAATAGCCTGATTGTATACGAACAAGTCCAACAACCATGCCCGAATAGGTTCCACCTGCTAGCAAAAGTCTGTGTGAATTGACTTCAGCAGATGGAATCCGTTCAAGCCACGGCAAAGGTCTGTGTGAACTGGCCATGAGCAGGTGGAACTCATTAATTTAAGAACAAGACAAACGTCTGTGTGAATGACCACCAGCAGATGGAAACCGTTCAGGATACGACAAAAATCTGTGTAACTTGACGACCGTGACCTGAACAGATTCCACCTGCTGATGGTCAACTCACACAGACTTTTGTCTAGTTCTGAACGGATTCCATCTGCTCGTGGTCAGACGGATTTGAATTGCGATGCAAACATTTTACATGGAGTTGCTAAAATACCAGTTTACTAAGTACAGAACTTATGTTTAATGACGACGTAAAAGGTATTTTCTCGGAATTATAATATAAGATTCTCTAAAGAAGAACGTCACTGAATGTATGGTAAGCATGTTAGACAACCCAAGCATTCAGCAGTATACTATCCAAATGCATTTCACACTTGCGTTCATTGTCACCATCAGTTGAGTTAATACAAACACTGAAGTGTATGAAGAAAAGAAAACTTGCACAGGATTCCATCCAAAGATAACAATAGACAACTATCAGAAATATATTCTTTCGAGACTGAAACCTCTTCATATTTGATGCAGTCAGCCGGCCATCTGAGGTAAAATTTTAGTGTCATTCTCTTGATAATTGTTAATGTGTATTTGTATTTAGTTATTTTAGTTACACCCACTAGTCTGTGATGTTGGATGTGCATGATTGTAAACACATTTTAGTTACATCCACTAGTCTGTGATGTTGGATGTGC